TACTATACCCTCCCTTAGAAAATTCATTTTTCCCCCTTTGGTACCAGAAATTGAACCTATGGGTACTTAACTACTGAGCCACATTCCCTGGCCCTCTTTTCATTTTTTACTTTGAGACACGGTCTCACTAAGTCGCTTAAGGACCTCACTGAGTTGCTGAGGCTGGCTTTGAACTTGGGATCCTCCTGCATCAGCCTCCCAAGCTTCAAGCAGCTGAGATTACAGGTGTGTGCACATCTGGCAGAAAATTTATTCCTTCAAATTAAAAGGAAACCATAATGTGAAAAAAACACCCTAATCAGAGAGGAAATGGTGCCACTGTTACTTTTTCATATAAATACTATGCATATTCATACAAAGGAGGCTTGAAATATTCAGGTACAGGATTTCCTACACATGAATTTTCTCATTTTCACAAAACAAGAAGACAAATCACCGTGCAAAACAGTATCAGCAACTTTCAGCCACAGCATCAAAATAGGAAGTTAGCCAGCAGACACTTTGCAGCCAAGCTAGGTCCTAAACAAAAAGACTCTTTTAAAGTACAAAGAAAAATGTTTTGCTTAAAATTTTTTAAAAAGGCTGTAACTGGCAAAATTTTTTCCTCAATGCTTGCCCCGAAGTTCAGTATGTAACTTCCTATTCTAGATGCCTACTTCATTAGTCAAAGAGAATGTAACATTCATCAATGTAAATATGCTTTCCAATTCTGAATATGCTTTCCAATTCTGAATGATGGATGGATTCTCTTTCCAATCTTTTTTTCACCTACTTAAAATGTTTCTAAAGAAAATCAAAGTACTTTCCAGCCTCCACTTTTTCCCAAAGATTTCAAAATTGAAACAAATTTCTGTTTTTGTGTCTAATAGAAGGAGCACATTCTGCAGATGACAGCTATATTACTAATAGCAAGGATATGGTCAAAACAGTAATTTCTGCTTATTTTTGCTTTCATAATCTTGGGGACAGGGCACTGGGGATTGAACCCAGGGGTGCTCAGCCACTGAGCCATATCCCTGGACCTTGCTGAGACTACATTACTGACTAAATTGCTGAGGCTGGCAAATTTGCCAACCTCCTGCCTCAGCCTCTCCAGTTGCTGGGATTACAGGCATGTACCACTGCACCCAGTTTTGCTCTCATAATTTTAACACCAACTTCAAAATTACATCTTTTAAAAAACCTCCAAACCCTAAGATACTGACAGTTAACTTGACCATCTGTATCACAGGCAGAAGATATAAGCATGAATTTGAGTCCTTAATCTGTCACTTGCTTGCTGTGTGACCTCGAGCAAGTCACTTCACCATTTTAAACCCCAGTTCCCTCAACTGGTAAAAGAGTTAGTACTTTTCCTCCACAAAATTGGCCGTGAGGATTAAATGAGAAGATTTGCATGAAGTACTAAGCATAGCAAAAACTTAAAAATTAGTCACATACAAGACATCTGTCAATATCTTTATATCGTTTTATAAGTATAGGAAATTATTAAAAATATACTCCCCTGTTTTGAAACTCTCAGGGATTAGGCTGAAATTTACAATACTTAATGGAAAAGCAAGACTATAAGGACCTACTTGGGAGGCACAACTTATTTAGGAAGGACCTCATTAAATTCATTAAATTTTTGTATATGCACATCCTTGAAACCCAATTAATGATAAATATGTATTTGAGGATTAAAAATGCAAGTCATTTTTAAATCTACAAATGTTCCATTTAATTATTGCTTTATATTGTTTAACATATAAAAATATATAGGGTTCGGTTTTCCCTAGGCTAAATGGCTAAAGAATATAAAAAAGATTAGTTGGGTTAGCGCTAATTACAAACTTAAAGGTGCAACCTGGTGATGGCATTCACTCTGAAAGACCTTTGTAGGACTAGATAGGCCCTAGTACCTCAGCCCCCTCCCTCCCTCCCTGGGGTTTTAATACACCTAAGTAAGTACACCAATAACTTCCTCTTCCCTTATTTTTATTAATGCAGATTAGAAGTTCCTAGTCTTGACTACCCTAGGATATACCTAATTATCTGTCAAGGCATCCCTGCAAACAATTTAACAGGCTGACCCATAGATGGCCAATGAAATACAGCCCTATCAGGCTGATTTTCCATCATGTGTTTCTGCAGGAGAAAATGTTATTAAAAGAGACTAGAGGGCTGTGGCTGTGGCTCAGTGGTAGAGCGCTCACCTTACACGTGCGAGGCCCTGGGTTCGATCCTCAGCACCACATAAAAATAAACACATAAAACAAAAGTATTGTGTCCAACTACAACTAAAAAATAAATATTAAAGAGAGAGACAGACAGACAGACAAGAGCTGGGCATGGTGGCTCAAGAGGCGGAAGCAGGAAGATTGGGAGTTCAAAGCCAGCCTCAGCAATTTAGTGAGGCGCTAAGCAACTCAGTGAGACGCTGTCTCTAAATAAAATCAAATTAGGGCTGGGGATATGGCTCAGTGGCCAAGTGCCCCTGAGTTCAATCCCTGGTGTGTACACACACACACACACACACACACACACACACACACACACACACACACACACACACACACACACACACACACACACAATCCCTGTTTCTGATGAGGGGCAGAATCAGTCTTTGGGACAGGAGTCCCCTATGTTTCTCCTTCGTTAGCAAAGTAATAAACCTTCATTTACCTCTTTCTCAAAAAACAAACAAACAAAAAACACCCACACACACACACAAAAAAGAGACTAGATTGGAATGCTTTTAAGAATGCAGCAGTTTTAACCACCACTTTACAATAACACTACCCTGAAAATAAATTTCTGGAAGCAAAAAAGGAAGAACAATAATTGTATGCTCTTATACAAACATTAATATGCACTATAAAACTGAAGTTTTTTTGAAAACTGTTGTTGTGCAGTACTGGGGATTGAACCCAGGGCCTCCCACATTCTAGTCAGTGTTCTACTACTGAGCTATATCCTCAGTCCTTTTGATTTTATTTTGAGACGGTCTAAATTGACCAGGCTGGCCTTGAACTTGCCATCCTCTTTCTTGCCTTAGCTTACAGGAAGCTGGGATTACAGGTGTAGGCCACCATGACCAGGACTAAATCTTAGTTTTTAATCAGAAAAGTTCTTAAAACAAAAACAAAAACAAAACTCCATTCTACTTGAGATCATGCATAATTTTTGTTAAGAGATTCAAATGTCTTTTTCTCTTTTTGCACTGGGGACTGAACCCAAGAGGCTTTTCCCACTGAGTTATATCTACAGACCTTTTTAATTTTGAGACGGGGTCTCCCTAAATTGTTGAGGCTGGCCTCAAACTTGTGACCCTCCTGCCTCAGCCTATAGAGTTGCTGTAACTACAGGCCTGCACCACTGCAGCCAGCTTAAAATTTTAAAGTTATGCAGTCTAAATTTCACACATTGGGTATGTTGTGTATAAGTTGCACTTTTCACTATTTAGGATATTAACTATCCCATTTCTGTATGAAAAAAGTGACATAAAGCTATAATGTATTTTTAAGGATCTGAAATACAAAAGTAGAAATGTGGTTATTTTTTCAATGTATACTATGGTTTTCCCATAGTAGAATAATGTAATAACAATTTACCTAAATTACTAAATTTCTCATGAGGAAAAAAAAAAACCTTAAAAATATAAATCTGATCAAGTTCCAAATGTCAAGAATGAGAACTACTTTGTTTTAGTTATTTTGTAATGTTTACAAAATCTCTACCTTTTAATGTAAATATGTTAATTTCAAAGGTCATGATTTCATACACAACTCACCTAAATTCACATAATTAGGGACATTATAAAGGTTTGGGGGTGTGTTAATGTTATCTGTTTGAATTGCAAGTAATGAACTGTCTATAATTTTTCCTAAGAAGACTAGATGAGACAAAAATTTAACAAGTGTAGGTTTTATCCCATTATATTTTTTTCTTATAAGGTCAAAGTCTTCGTAATAAATCAACATCTAGACTTTACAGTTAGAGAATTCTAGTTGGGACAATAAACTGTTTATACAGGATTTTTTAGATCTGTCTAGTGATTTTAATTACTTTTCCTGTTTTTTTTTTTTTAAAGGTTTTTCCACTGACCTATATTTGGGAATCTAGTTCAACTGTACAAATGGAATAGCACTTTATTACTAGAACAAAGCAAGGAAGCAGTATTCTCTTTCTCTCTCAGGTTCATGGTGGTAGCTACTCCTAAAAACTTTGATACCCTTCCTCATAGACTGACAGATAAAGGGAGAAAAAAAGCCATGGCTTAAATCTCTAGGACAAGAAGTCTTTTTTTTTTTTTTTTTTTTTTTTTTTTTTTTTTTTTTTTTTTTTTTTTTAGGACAAGAAGTCTTAATTGCCAAAAGTCAACTGACTTGTTCAATTTGGATCTAGCCTAGCTCTTGGGACAAATCCCAGAGAAATTCAGATTATGATATTCTAGTTGTTGACATATTTGTAGGCACACTTTTAAATTATTTTCTAAAGTCACTACTCTTTCTAAACAAGTTACATAAATAGAAATAAAAAAATTAAATGTATTCTGGGGTGGAGTGTTTTCTGAGCCACAAATTCCACAGTCAAGTTTTCAATTTTTAGGAAATATTCAAAATTACATCTAAACTTATGCTGTGTTCAGTGGTCCACCCACCCTCATTCTATCTTATCAATCTGTACAGAAAACCCATTGACAACTGTTAAATAGAAAGGACTGGCTTGTAATTAGTTTTGTTTGTTTGTGGTACTGGGCATTGAACCCAGGAGCATTCTACCTGTCATTTTTTAATTCTGCGATGGGGTCTCACTAAGTTGATTAGGTTGGCCAAGAATTTGTGATCCTCCTGCCTCAGCCTCCCAAGTCGCTGGGATTTACCACCATGCCCAGCTATAATAATTTTCATATAGGAATGTGGGGTCAATAGAAGACTGTGCCTCTTGTCCCCAGTTACAGCCTCTTTCTCAACATTTTTCTTTTATTAATGAACAAAAAAAGTTTACAGACTTGCCTTTAGAGGTCGAAAATAGAGATACAGGCTGAGAGGAAGAGGAAGAAACAAAGGAATCTGAAAGAAAATATACAGTATGAGAATAACAACCTCACAAAGGACTTTTCATTTTAACTTTTTTTTTTTTGGAGGGGGTCAAGCATCATAATTTCATTGGGTGTAGCAAAGGCGAAAATCCAAATCTTTATTTTCAGTTACTAATTCCACTCACCTGCTAGTTATTTCCAAGATGCATTTCTAAAAGTCAATCTTTTAAAGACAAACATTATCACATTCAAAGAAAGAAAAGAGGAACTTCTAGCATTTTAGAACAACCACAACCTCAAGAGCAGATGGTGCCCCTCTGTTGCTCTGCATGGAGAGGGAAAGTAGGTATCGTTTCTTTCTTTTTTTCTGGTACTAGAGAATGAACCCAGGGGCACTTTACCACTGAGCTACATCCCCAGGCCTTTTTGGTTTTTATTTTTGAGACAGGGTCTTGCTAAGTTGCTGAGGCTGGCCTCAAGCTTGGGAGTCTCCTGCCTCTGTCTCCTACTTGCTAGGATTACAGGCATGCACCACTGCACACTTTTTATTTTGAGACAGGGTTTTGCTGAATTATTCAGGCTGACCTTAAACCTGTGATCCACCTGCCTCAGCCTCCAGAGTGTCTGGGATGACTATAGGTGAGTGGCTGGGATCACAGGCGTGTATCACCACTCCTGGCTGAAGGAAAGCAGGTATCTGAATACTAATTAACTATCTGCTTTTAACTATTTTCACATGTATTTTAAGGTATCAGTTACTAATAGAAACATTTGAAACATCTAATTAGCAAATATGCAAAGTCAACCCTCAATACCTATAACAAAAACTCACAATCCAATAGGAAAATATGAGAAGTTATACTCCTTTAATTTGGCAACAGAAGTCAAAATTTAAAATACACATATCCTCCCCACTTCCACATCTCAAGCACATATTCTTCTTCTTCTTCTTCTTCTTTTTTTTTTGGTACTGGGGATTATAACCCCCAGGGTGCTTAACCACTGAGTCACATCCCCAGCTCTTTTTAATATTTTTTTAGAGACAGAGTCTCACCGAGTTGCTTAGGGCCTTGCTAAATTGCTGAGGCTGGCTTTGAACTCGTGATCCTCCTGCCTCAGCCTCCCAAGCCACTGGGATTACAGACCTGCACCAGCACACCCAGCTCAAGGACATTTTAAAATTAATTAATTAATTTATTTTTTAAGGTAAAAATGGTCAGAACATATTTATTTATTTATTTATTGATGTGGTGCTGAGGATCAATGAACAGAACTTATTTATTTGTTTATTTATTGCGGTGCTGAGGATCAAACCCAGGGCCTTGCAAGTTAGGAAGAGTGCTCTACCCTGAGCTACAACCCCAGCCCAAGCACATATTCTTTTAATTCAGCAATTATACTTTTAGGAATCCATCCTACAGACTTATTTGCACACATATACAAGAACATGTGTGTGAATATTTATTCATAAGAGCACTAGGTATAAGTACAAAAAATAATCTCTATGACTACCAATAGAAGACTAGTTAGAAAGTTAAACCTAGCCAAGGAACAGTATCACATGCCTGTAATTCTAGCTATTTGGGAAGCTGTAGATCTTAAATTCTTAAATTCTAGACCAGCTCGGGCAACTTAGGAGGGCCATCTCAAAACTAAACTTTTAAAAAAGGATCAGGAATGTAGCTCAGTGGAAAAGTAATTAAGTACAAAGTTCTAGGTTCAATCCTCAGTACAGGACGGGTGGAGAATAACGAACAAAAGAGAAAGAACGAACAAGTTACAGTTATACATGTTGATATAGTCTGTATTTTACATTTAGAAAGCAAAGCAAAGTGCAACAGTGAATTCAGTGTGACCCCATGTGGTCAATGAAAACAAAAGGGAGCCAGGTGGATTGGGAGGCTGAGGCAAGAGGATCATGAGTTCAAAGCCAGCATCAGCAAAAGCAAAGCCCTAAGCAACTCAGTGAGTCAGTGATTCTAAATAAAATATAAAAATGGACAGGGGATGTGGCTCAGTAGTTGAGTGCCTCTGAGTTCAATCCCCGGTAGTCCTTCCACCCCATCCCAAGGGACTAATGTAAGGGACTGGAACATCTGGGATAGGAGGGAGATTTGTTTTTCAATATAATCTTTGGCTCTTAAGAAAACATGACCTTTTCAATAAAAATGGAAAGAAATTAATAAAAATAGCTATGTGAAAAACTCCAAATATGCCCCTAAATATATGGCACTTTATATATTAACTCCTTTTTTTTTTTTCTTTTTGGTATCACGGATTGAACCCAGGGGCACTTAACCACTGAGTCACATCCCCAGCCATTTTTATGTTTTATTTAGAGACAGGGTCTTGCTAAATTTGCTGGGGCTGGCTTTGAACTCATGATCCTCCTGCCCCAACCTCCTTAGTGGCTGGGATTACAGGCATAAAACACCATGCCCATTTACCTCCCTTTTTTTCTTTGCAATTACAAAAATCTTTTTCACAAATACTAGAAACATACTTAAAACTAGCCAGGTCAAACATCTGTAAGCCTAGCAATTTGAGGGGCCGAGGCAGGAGGATTGCAAGTTCAAGGCTAGCCTAAGTAATTAGCAAGACCCTGTCTCAAATAAAAACATAAAAAAGACTAAGGCTATATCTCAGCAGTAGAGCTCCCTGGATTCAATCCTCAGCACCAAAGTTTAAAAAAGTAAATAAAGAAAAAAAGAAAAGAGAAAAAACACTCAAAAATAGAAGACTGGTTTCTTTAAGGACTGAGCCAGAGCTATATCTATAAGTATTAATTTAGTAAAACTATTCAGTAGTAATGGATACAGAGAATATTAACATCAAGGCAGAATTTAGTGGCTATCAAGCAGTAACTAGAGATCAGAATTTAAAAATTCACTGCTTTTAAGTTATCTTAAAATGAAGCATAACATTTTTGTTAAAAAGCAGTCCTTTTCTTCTTAAAAAGAAGTACATTTACCCCTCTAATGTTTCCAGATGAGTTCATTTCCATATGCATTTACTATCAACATTAAATCTCCACCAACTAATGAGTTTAAATCTGAACAAACCTGAAAAACCAAATGCTTTAGGTAAACCCAATGCCAAGAAAGATCCTATGAACTTGCCAGCTGTCTACCTTTGCACTTCCACCTAAATACCTCCTCCTAATGGAAAATTTCAACATCAATTTTTATGCATAGCCTCTGTTCTGATAGAGAACACAGATAACCAGTAGTTTGTACCAACATTTCATGAGGTTTCTAACTTACAAAATCACACAGGGAAGTAACTTCAGAAGGGTGATCTTAATCCTGAAATGCTAATAATGAAATCGTTTTCTATAAGCAGCTAAATCCAGGCACTGCAAAATAGTGCTCAAAAGTAGCTGAAGAAGAAATATAAACCGGTAAGACTATATGATGATTATGGGAACACAGCAGAGGCAGCCACTAGGGTAAAATTAAGATTGCTTCAGAAGACGTGGTAACCTTGGTCTTAAAGGACATTCAGCAGGTGAACGAGGCAAAGGAAGACATTCTGGAGACAGAACTGGCCACATTCCAAATGGCTTTAAGTGTCACCTAATGAAATCTGGATTACATTCTTTGTGCAGTGAGAAATCACTAAATGTCTTTAGGTAAAGAAATGACATGATAGCATGTTTTAAAAAGAACTAAGCATGAACTGAACTAAAAAGTGACTGCATAATCTTGTCAAGAGATGTCGACTTAAGCTAAAATTGTGAGGATGGGAATGAGGGGGCAGATTTGACAAGAAAGAATGGACAGGACCTGGAATCATCTGACTGGAAGCTGGAGACTGGAGAAGTAACAAAGAGGGACTAAAAGAAATGCCACTAGAATGATTGCCTTATATTATCAATTTTTAATAAAAGAAAAGTTAAGGCAGATTAAAGTGAAAACGGTTGAATTGGCATTCAACAAGGGGGATAGTCTCAGGAGATTACTGGATTAAAGGCTGCAGATAGGTGTCTGGGAGTTAACATTTATGTGATCATTGACACCACTGGAATGAGATTAGCCTCAGGAGAATAAGAGAAGTTACAGAGTTTATGGCTTGGATTTGAATGTCCCCAAAAGGCTTGGTCCCCAGCTGTTGGTACTACTGGGATGTGAGGGAAACTTTAGGAGGTCAGTCACTGGGTGCATGCCCTTAAAGTGTATATATCTTATCCCTGGCTTTTTTCTTTCTCTCTGCCCCTGGGTGAGCAACTTGCTCTGCCAAACCCATAATGTTCTTGCCTCACCACAGGCCCAGAAACAATAAAGCCAAGCACATGTAAAACCTGTGAATCTGTGAGCCAAATTAAATTTTTCCTCCTCTAACTTGATTTTCTCAGTATTTTGTCATAGTAACAAAAAGCTAACTAACACACAAAGGAATCTTAAGATATACCAATATTTAAAGGGGAATAAGAAAGAAGGTGAAGGAGACCAAAATGAACTGATACAGAAGGAAAATGGTGTCACTTGGAGAATGCTTTAAAGAGTAGCTAGCAGAGGCGAAGATACTGAATGATCAAATTAAGACAATTTTAAAAAGAGTCACATGAATTAAGCAATCAGGCAATTTGGCATCGATAACTCTATAATTAGAGTGACTAAGGGGTGGGTGCAAACCCTGAAACTGGGGAATAAATGAAAGTTTAAAAATCACCAACAGGGCTGGGTATGGTGGTGTACATGCCTGTAATCCCAGTGACTACGGGAGGCTGACATAGGAGGATCCCAAGTTCAAGACCAGCTTCAGCAACTTAGTCTCAATCCTGTCTCAAAGTAAAACATTTATTTTTTTTAAGAGAGGATTTTTAATATTTATTTTTCAGTTCTTGGCGGACACAACATCTTTGTTGGTATGTGGTGCTGAGGATCGAACCCGGGCCGCACGCATGCCAGGCGAGCGCGCTACCGCTTGAGCCACATTCCCAGCCCCTCAAAGTAAAACATTTAAAAAGAGAAAAAAGTTAGGAATATGGCTCAGTAGTTAAGTGCCCCTGGGTTCAATCCCTGTTACCAA